CTCACTTGTCTTACTTGCCTGACAATTGCAAATGATCTTGTTTGGAGGATTTTGAAAGGGGAGAAAGAAAAAGTTAAATGCTTAAAAATAAAATCCACAACCACATGAATATTTTTCCATGAAGTGTTAAAAATAGGGTTTGCTTTTATGTTTATAAAAGGGATACAATCAACTCTTTCTTAAAATAATAATTAAAAAAAAAAACCAAACCCAGGAAAGCAAAAACCAAACCATCTCTAGTTTCTACACACTCTGTAGTGACTACTGTGAAGCAACCGATACAGATTGGGTATATTCTGTTGTTTGACAGGTATCTACCAAGTTACATGTTAGATGATCAGACTGTAGTGTTACCCCGACTGGGGGTCATTGGAAGGGCAGGGCAGGAGCAGTGCACATTATGGGAATCGAAATGAAACTGGAGCTCTCAGTGAGGGATGGGGTCCTTCTAAGAAGAAATATTCTCCGAAAGAGGTGAACTGCAGCAGGCATGGCCTTCAGGAATCAGGCTAGGCAGGCCAACAAAATGGATGGTGCTTCTGATATCAACATAGCTTTGTCCAAGCATTCCCAAGAGAGATTAAAAACAAACAAACAAAAAGTCTAAAACTATACTAATGAAGCAAAAAAGTTTCCTATCTATACAGCAGTCTCTTCATTTAAAAAAATGTAAATATACAAATTCCAGTGACATATAAAACAAAGTCGAAAATGTGAATGGGAAGAGACATGGGTAAAACAGGAAGACTGATGCTACAAAGAAATTGCAAAAAACATATGTACAAGACCCTGTTTTTCCTCGTATGTTATCGATTGTAATGCATGTTTAACAGCAGCAGTCGAGGATGTAGTTCCAGGCACCAGACTGCAGACTCAGCTCCTACTCAAGGGGGTTGACGGCCCCTTCCCTTTCGGTCACCAAATGACACTTGATATACTGGTCTCCCGTGGCAGGAGGGGCAATATCGCACTGTTTGTGTGAGCCTCTTCTGGATTCTGCTCCCTGTTAGTTTTTGTCTGCGGCCGCTGCCCGTTTATAAGTGTCATAGGGATGTTGCAGTAGGTATGCTGGTTACCTATTGAGGTAAGCGGCAGGGTGCCAGTAGGAGGTACATCGTATTCATAGCTTCGATAATAGTGTTTCTGGCGCATCTGTGAATGATATGTGTTATGAAAGGTGGAGCGCAGGTCTGGATGGGCAGTGGCAAGAGCAGTGGAGGTGGCAGCAGCCATGGAAATTGCGGAGACTGTCTGCAGTTCCCCAAAGGGCCCCTGCTCACTGACATCTAAAACCTGCTCATGTGTGATGGGTTCAATCCTCTTAAAAGGCATTTCGTACTGTAAACGTTTCCAGAACTTGGAATTCAACTTGTTGCATTTTGGTCCATGCCATTTAATGACAGTGAGGAGCTTGATGGTATGTTTTAGGGCCTCAACCTCCTGGTAGTTCATAACTCCTCGTAGTTCACTGCATTCAATCAGTATCACTTTGATTTCACCCGTGACTAACATGTTTCGAAGCCTTGTTTCCAGTTCAAAGATGCTCCAGCCTCTTCTTACCACATAGTTTGGAGTCATGACGATGATCAGTCGCTTGCTTTGGTCTACACATCTTGCCACGTCTTCAATGTAGGCTACAAAATAAGACAAGTGCTCAAAAACCAATCTAAGAAAACACTCGGCTCTCATAGACTGGGGAGAAACAACAGAGGCAAATCCCTGCTCCCAGAAGAGCCCACAGAAATATGCAAAAACATCACTTGCAAATGTGCCAGGTTGTCTTGGCAGGACGTGGTCCTGGACAATCAGCTCTAGGTGGCCCTGCTTGAGCAGGAGGGTTGGACAAGATGTCCTCCAGAGATCCCTTCCAACCTCAACCATTCCGTGATCCTGTGAAACACCTATTCCCGCATGTCCTATGGATTGTGAGTGTTTGTTCATGAGCCATGGTTTTGTATCATTATCTGTATCTTTATTGGAACAAGTGTGTCTATCATCATTTTTTCCTTTAAAAAGGCAAAGTCACCCAGGTAGGCAACAAAGCAGCAACTACATGCTTTAGGGGCTCAGCCTCAAACCCAAATGATACTCTAAGGTGTACGATAGGCTTAGATTTTTCTTTTCCTTTCATACTCCCCCCATACAAATTCACAAAACCAGTGTGGTCACCTGTAAATTGATGGTTAGTTTGGTGTAGATTTAAAAAATATCCATGAGATTGTTTGATGTTGTACTTTGTCTATACAGAACATCCCTTCTTATTTTCAGTAAAAGATACTGATCTTGGTAGCTGTCTATATGGTTACACTGAAGTTATGAAAAATACTACAACAACGTACAAAAAAATTACTGTCTGTAGGTTGGAATATGTGAAAGAGACATGAAAAAGATTTACTTGTACCAGCTGGAATCAATTCTAATTTTCAGCCTCTGAGAATGATCCGGTACCCCCACTACACGTTCATGTGCTGTGGACACTAACAGTTTTCACTCCTTTGCTCTGCTGTAGATGTTGTTACTCAACCCTTGCCTTAGTCCAAACATAACTTTTTCCTTTGTGTCTCTATTTCTGTAATAAATACTTAGAATCATGGATATCTTTCCAGGCAAACTCTAAGGAACAGAAAACAAAGACCTCTGTATTCATTCCTAGACATGCAAGCTCTCAAAAAATCTGTGAAAGAAATGTTAGTCTCATTCATTTCCTTTACTTATGCATGCCCTTTCTGCACTGTCTCACCTTCAATCAATATGATACAATTACTGAAAAATAATCCTCTTGTCTAGGAAACAAACATTAAGTATGTTTGATGGCTTATCTTCACCGTTCTCTAAGACAAGGGAGGAAAGATGACGTTCTGAAGGAGTAGATATAGAAATGATACTAAACCAATCACTGCAATCACTGCACGTGCTGTTTAGAAAACACACAAGAATAAAGACGTGACTTACTTCCTGTGGGAATCAAATCTCTGTCTGGTATGAACAACTTGTATCCATAATGCTTTTCAAGCATATCTGGTAGGATCTCAAGAGCAAATCTTTCTTCTTCTCCAGTTTCTTGATTCCACTGGTCAGGATCCACTTTGGTATAAGATAGATATGCATCATAGTCTTTGTTGTCTAAAGAAAGAGAGGAAGAAAGTAAGTTAGTTTATTCATTATTCTTGCAATTTTCCTAGATAATTCCACAGGAATTATTTCTGGGGCAATTTCCCAGGAATAGGAAATTGTTTAGAAAAAATGGCAAGCTTACACCCAATCTCCAGATATGAATCCATTCACCTTTCCTGTTTCACCTGGTAGATGCAATCCTTGTTTACACAGACGCAAGGGAGAAGGGATCCATATCCATAAACTGCTGTCAGTTTGTGCATAAACATTTGTGTACGGCTCTCTATGAAGGAAATCCACTCAGCTGTGGGCTGACAGCTTGTGAGCGCAAAAGTCATTGAAAAGAAATTTAATTCTTCTCTAGCTTTAAAAGGGAAAAGCAAAGCATGGAAATACCTAAGCTAATGAGCAATGGTCTCTGTTGCATAGTAAAAACCATTTCAGTCTTGCCAGATTTTTACTATAAATTTAGGGCCTGGAGCTGAAATGTTCTAACTATATGTGTAGCTTTCCTTGTAAAACTCATTGGCTTTCCAGGTCTGAAATTATTGCCAAGCTTAAATCTTCGCAGCATCAGCTCCCGATAATGCAGTTTAAATCTCTTGAATTCTGTGTGCTTAAATTTGCAGATTTAATGTTGCATTAATGTCCGTTTTGTTACTTAACAGTGTGTTATTTCATTTCAATATGAGAGATAAATGTGCCTGTTTCTTAAATGTGCTTGGTGTGCTTACTTGAAAGACAATCAAAAGAGCTGTCATTAATTTTCATTAGGAGGTCAATAATGCCAAGCGCTCTGGAACTAATTCAGCGGAATAAGAGGTCACGTTTTGACTTTTGTTGTGAAGAAAGCAGAAAAAAATCAATGGTAAGAGTAATGAAATGTTAACATCCTTCTAACTCTCTTGACAACACTACGTACAGGCTACCGAGAATATCAATTGCTTGTAAAAGAGAACTGATTGAATACTCGACTGTGTGTCATAGGTAACATCATACTCAGTCAATGCTTACTTCAGTTATTTACTGAGCCACTCCTTCCCTCATTTTACACCTTTTTGTACTCTGGTAGCATTATTTGGAAAAGCCTTCCAAATGCAGGATGGGTGCAAATAGTATAAATTAAATTAATGAAACGGTGCTAATCTTGAACAGTCCACTCCTCCTTCTGAGGAACGATGCATACTATGCTCATTAACATTTGCAGATGACAAAATTAAAATGGTAAAACGGAAACTGCTTTCAAACTTTCCAAAGCTGTGAAACGACCATGTGCTCATTCTCTCCCGCACACACTTGTTGTGTGATATTATCTATTGGATGGTTATATCCACAGAAAAACAAACAAACAAACAAACAAAAATAACAACAAAAAAAGAAAACTAAGAAAAAGAGGGGCACTGCCTTCTATAGTTCATTCTTTCCATTATTTTTCTTTGGAGTATTTGTGAAACCATGATCCTTAACAATAGACAAGCACCTAATGCCTTTGACAGTGCCTTGAAATAACACTGAATGGAACAAGTATGAGGTAAAGGGAGTTTACATAGCAGGTTGTTGTTTCTACAGTAGGATGGTGTTAACCCAGCAACCGAGTTAACACACAGAAAGGTCAAGAGACATATGGGGAAATTACGACAACAGACAAAATGATAACGCAGTAATGCCATTTTCTGTTGTCACCTTAGTAATGGTCACAACCATAGTACATGCTCCAGAGCAGTGTTGCTCTGTTGAAAGTCTGTGAGTAAAGATGAAAATGTTTCATTTCTCAAAGGGATAAATAATGAGAAATAATGCAGTGTTCAAACCGTTTTAAAGGCTCAGGGTATTGTCTGTTAAGATGGTTTGCACACTCCTATTTAGAGGTAAAATTATTCATGCTATGCCACTCTTTTCTTCCATATGTAAATATTGCGCTAATGCATTTATTTGAGGTATACATTTTTCACACCATGGAGGTTCCAGCGTTTCCACTGACTACAACTGCATTATCCTGTATTGCAGGGAACATTTCTTCCCACTCTAGTTCCCTAGTTTTAACAGCATTTGAAGGGCAAAGAATGGGCAGGATCTAGGGTATGTCTACAAAGATGGGTTCAGGCAATCACGAATTTATTCAAGCTCCAATCCAGCAAGATGTGTAGTTTGATTTGGGAAACTGTTAGATGCATTAGTACAGTGCTTTTCCTGAGCTATTATACTCCCCATCTGTCAGGTTTTTTAACTTTGCTTGATGAAGAGTAAAAAGTTGAGTTTAATGCAGAATTACCTTATGTGGTAATTCTGTTATCTGGTAGGCTGACATACTGGCATACGCAGACGATTTGCGAAATGTGAAATGCCCGGGATACACAGGGGATGATCACATATGTCTTTGTTTTACTTCTGTAATATTTATGTATTAGCCTGCTTTTGGTTAATTGATATTATTTGGGTTACATTGCCAACTATGACACATTTTAAGACCTACAGCAGGCAAATAGCTATGCAGCCATCAGGAGCTACCTTTTCTGTGATGTGATCAAAGAGCTGTGGCATTCTTTACTATTTTCTCTAATTGTTATGGATAGACAAAAATGTAGAATTTCAGTTGTAATGAAAAACGAGAGAACTCATAAAATTGTTGAAATGTCCCATCTCCAGGAAAGTATTTAAACACACAGTAGATAGTGTCTCTGCCTGTCGTTCTTCTCACTTAAATGTTCCCACCTGCTCCTGTTTGCAATGGGTAGGACTAATGTCTACATTCTAAAGGACAGTTCTGATCTTAATTCATGTTCTTTAACGTGCTGTCCCAATGGACTGAGAGGGAGAGACGGGAGCCTGCAGACATCCAGATCTTATGGCAGAGTCAAACTCTGGGAGCTGGGGCTCGCATCTTGCCAGTCTTTGGCCATGTCCCATGGAAGCAGGAGGCTCTCGGCTTTGCTCTCACACCCTTTGCTCTCCGGTTGTTTTCTATGTAAGCCTTCCTTCGAGCAACGCATCCAGGAGTCCCCAGACTCCCAGCAAGCATGCAGGAAATCCATCACAGGCTTCTGCTTCCTTGACCGTTCACTGGAACAGGTATTTTACCTGTGAAAACATTTGGTGTCAGCACATCTGCCTTTTCCAAGAAAAAAAACACTTCACCAGAAAATTTCTGATCTGCTCCTAATCACAAATCAAGTCACAAAGGACTTGATATTACTGCTTATATTATTATGTACTATGATAATTACAGATTTGGCTATGCAATAAGTTCAGATACTGGCTGAATCTAATATTCAGTGTCAGAAAAAAAGGGCAGAAATCCAAATTCAAAACAAACAAAGCTGGTGGCAAACTAAGCTTTTCTTTAAAATAAGAATTTCCCTATTTCCCTCTATCAGCAAACAATTAAGTGTTCTATCCAAGAACCCTCGGAATGAAAATGTGATTGATTGTTGCTTGCACTTTGGCTTTAGATATAAATTGTGCCATCTCAAAGATTTGTTTTTGTCAGGCTCCTGTGCATTAGCAATAAACTGGAATACAGTTACTCACTGTTTCCTCCTACACTTAGGAAGAAAAATACCTGCTAATAACCAAAGGCAGGGATGTTGATCATTTCATCTGAAACTTTTTTGCTTTCCCATGGAGATTGAAAGTAATCATCTACACACACTTTTGTGCCTGAAAGTACTCTTATTCCCTTAACCTTTTCAGGATTCTTTTTTTAGAACCGTATCAGTATAAGTTCATCTTGCATTGCCTCCAAGTATGTTGCAGAGCAGTAATATGTAATGGCTGTCCTTTACTTTGGTGAACACAGATGAGTGTGACATACAATATCATGCAACAGCAATACTTTGAAACATTTTGGTGTAATAAGTTTCCTCTTCCCGTTCTTTGTGAATGGACAAGTTATCCTCTTCAGTTACGTGGTCTGTAGTTGCTTGCTGCTGCCTACAGGTAGTGTGCAACTAGGATGGAGCTCTTCAACTCAACAGCCTCCGTTTCTGTGAAGTTTTGTTGTATCCGTTAATTGAAAATATTGAACCAAAGCCTAAAGCAGACCTTGCATGGTGAAATTCAACCAGACTTGATGCAAAAAAATTCTTTGTTATTGTACTGTAGACAACCATGAGAGCACGTGGAAGCTCTGGATTAGTTCATCATGATGGGGTCAAATACAGTCTGTGCTCAAGGTATGATGCATTCAGTCCACAGATGTTTCAGTCAGCCCAAAACCACTGGTATTGCAAGACTCCGGCCAAAACAGACTGTAGAGTACAAACTTTGCCATATAATTTTAGCTGTTCTATGGAGTTGAAAGTGAGGACACTCAGTAACCGTTGTGGAACTGCACTCAGCTGCAGGTCTGACAAAATTATTTTGGATTTATCTTAGGGGTAAACATTGAGGGTGAAATCCCAGCTTCGTTAATATCACATGAAAACATTATTTCATTTAAAGGCCCAGGATTTTAGCCAAAACACCTGTTGCATCACTGCAACATGCATTCTTTAATGCTGTCCATTCCTTTCAGTACTCATCAAATGTAGAATATGTTATCGTACTTCCTGTAACTTTCTACAGTGTTAATCCAGCAGACGTGATATAAACTTTTAAGGGATGAAGTTGCAAATGCTGCTTGTTATTCCAAGGATGTGCTCAGAAGCAGTCACTTAAAGGCTCAATGTAAGCATAAAATGAAACCCAGACTCTATGTGCATCTACTTTATCACATGCAAATGGATCTTTGGGTAAGTAAATTGCTATCAGACATCTAAGAACTCATCTGTATGCGTGCTCTTTTAACAGCTACACATGAAGAAATGGTAAGCTGGTGCCTACAGAAAGAGAGATAAAACTTCCTCTTCTACAGGGACCACCAAACAAATTCAACTTTGAAGTTGTATTATAGATGTACATGTTTTCTAATTATTTCCATGTTGCGCTCCAAGAAGCCAGCAGTTTGGGCCTTTGAGGGTTTATTAAAACTTAAACATTGCACATATTTCTGCTAAAGAAAAATTATATAT